ATAATTAATAATTTATGTTACATGTTTAGATATAATTAATTTACATATATAAATTATATATTGAAATCAAATTATAAATTTATATTTATAAATTATTAAAGTTGATCATTTATTATTAACAATTAATTAATTAATTAATTTTTATAGTGTGTATATAAATAATAAATGAAGTATAAAAATAAATGTTATTTACATCATAAACAGATTATTTAAAAAAAATTGTTTTAAAATATATAATATATGCTATAAACTTAAGAAGTAAGAACTTCAACTTATTTAGTCTCATATTGTGCAACCTCTTAAGTAAAACAATCTAAACTCTTAAATATTGAGACGTCTTAAATATTAAGTCGTCATGAAGAAATTTTTAGGATGGGTGACCTTCTGAAAAGTTACACCAACAGGACAAAACCGTGAGGCTCTTAGGTTAAAGCGGACAATATCTTGATAGTTAAGTATTTGAACTGTTATAAATGATATTAGAACAATACACTAACCAGAAGATGGGAACTAAGTGTCATATAAGACAAAGTGTTGCACCATAAAAGTCACCTCTTGAATCATATATGGGACAAAGTGTTACATGGTGGGAGTCACCACTTGAACTTATAGTAGCCACCTCTATAATATTATATGTCTGGTGGATGATTCTGAGATAAGAATATTGATGAGGATTTCAATTACTTATGTGTGAGAGTTTATGAAACCTCTTAAGTAAAAGAAGCTAAACCCTTAAACATTGAGGTATTATTTGGTGTAATTGTTGGAATTTTATTAAGAAACTCCGCTGTTAATCGTGCTCTCCTAAAGAAATCTTGGAATGAGTGACCTCCTTTGATGTTACACCAATATGACAAAGCTGTGAGATCCGTAGGCCAAAGTGGATAATATCTCGATAGTAAAAAAGTTTGGGCTATTATACATATCATTTGGGAACTTCCTCTTGGTAATGTTTATATTACTTTTTAAGTTAGGATGAGGTAAGAACTCACAGGAAGTGATGGAGCCATGTGAAATTCTTAGTTGGAATTTCTTTATTAAAAAAATAAGCCTTTTAAATATAAATTAATTTGTCAAATTATAAATATTATTTAACATTTTATTCTTAATATATTAAATTAATTTGTTTAATTATTTAAATAATTCAGAAATAGAACTGATCAATTTAATGGAAATGGGACTAGTCCGGTGGTTCTAGCTAGTTCAGCCTGGTTTGATGCATAAATGTTTTTTTAGGAAGAACCAGGCCGGTCTTAAGACTGGTCCACGATTGAACCGGTCAGATCGGCCAATCGAATCTGATTTTTAAAACCCTGATAAAAACTGAAGGTTTCTAGCTAGGTTAAAGTAAGTGAGAATCTATATCATGGTCTAAGAGGCTTGGGATGAAATTGGTTGATAAAGAGAAGTGGTTGAGACATTTATAGACTATGCTAGAGATCCACGTAAGGAAATTGTTCAACTTATGATTAATGAGAATGGGAATAGCAAGCACAAACTCAATTTAAATAATAAGTTAAACTAGCACTACATTTGCAAGTGATTTTAGAGAAATCTCTTTTGTATCAAATACCTCTTACTTTCTTAGGATCCGATAATGGGAAAAATTCTTATTCCTAATTACTATTATATAACTATTTTCCTATTTATTTTGTCATATTTTATTCATATAGAATGATGTCAAGGAAGTGCTTGGAGTGTCATAGAAAAAAAAGGAGTTAATAGTGTGTGTATTTAAGTCATTGATGATATGTATATAAGAGCTCCTACTTGTGTTCAAACACAGGGTAGTTTGATCAATTATTTTTCTTTTTAAGTTGGATTCATCAAAGATCAATTTTAAGATCATATCTTTTTTCATTTTAATCATGGATGTTCTTACTAGACATTTGCAAAAGGAAGTACCTTGGTGTATGCATTTTATTGATGATATTCTTCTTATTGATAATACTAGAGAGAGAGTTGATAAAAAAACTTAAATTATAGAGATCAATTTTAGAGTCTAATTTTTTTTTTTTTTTTTTTTTTTGAGTAGATTTGAAACCAAATACTTGGAATATAATTTTAGTAGTAATATATCTAGTGGAGACCTAGTAGAGTGGTTTTGATTGCACGTTTTGGACATCCTGTATTTATTGTTCAAGCGATGATGAAATAGGATGTATTATTGAAGTGGAGGAATGCATCAAGCCTATTGTGTGATAGAAAGTACCCCTTAAATATAAGGAAACTTTTTATAAGATGTTGGTGAGACATGCAATGATTATTAAAGTATTTAAAATGACTTGATTTTATTAAATTTAAATGAAAATTTCACTCTTAATAGGATACAATGGAGAAAAAAGATTCATGTAACCAACCCCACTTAATGGGATAAATGCTTATAGCTTTTATTGTTGCAGAGACAATAAAGTGCCACCAACACTCCTCTGATAAGTGCTTCTATGAAACGTACATGTTGGCGACAACATCATGATCTCAATGATACCAATAATATAGAGGTCTACATGACAAAATAAAAGAGAATTTCATAGTGGGTTTGGTGCCTCATGGTAGGTGAAATTTCAAATGGGCATAGGAAGTAGAAGTAAGCTTATGGAGAAGTTGAAGCATCATAAATCACAAAGATAATGCACAATTGCCATCTCTTTTCATATTTTCCTCTAATCCATATTTTATCTCCACTCTTAATGTTAGCTATATTATAAGGATGTCAATAAATGACCCGACCAGAGAACTCAACTAAAATCTAACACGAAAAATTTGAGTCCGAGTTAACTAATTTAATAAATGGATCAGATTTGGATCATGTAATCCAACAAATTAATTTAACAGATATGGTTCAATTTGACACATTAACCCGATTTTGAATCAAAAAAATAAATTTAAATTTTTGTAATTTACTCATACAATCTTCTCATTTTTATCAATTAACCTAAAATCTATAATTAATAAATTAAAAACATTTTTTATTTAAAACATTATCGAGTTGGGTTCGAGTTGCTGGCAGGTCAAGTTCAGATCCACCTTTTTAACCAATTTATTAAACAGGTCAAATTTGAGTTAACTGGATTTGAGTCAAGTCAATTTTGGGCCGAACCCAAATCTAATCCGTCGACCCGTTTTTTATACCCCCATCAATCATCATAGATCGAATAATTTTTCAAAAGCTTAAGAACTAATTATTAGAGAAATAATTCCTTCCAGAAATTTCTGAAACAAATTCTCTGTGTGGGATTTCTTCCCTCAAAACTGAAGAACAAATCCTTGCATAAGCAGTAAACTCAATGCTTCACTTTCTGCAAATAGGTCTTGAAAGAAGCATATTTTTAAAAGAGGATATTAGAAACCACAAAGAAAAGGAAATATGGTGGAAGCAATCATTCCAAGAAGCAAATGCATGTGCCTCCAACATTAGGTACAACCTAAAGATGTATGGGTACAACCTCACAAATCATGAAAAAGTTAATGGAATATTTCTTTACAAAAGAACAAATCAAAAGCTTTTGATTGTATAAATTTCACTATTTATTGATTTAATTTTTGTACGAAGAAAGTTGTTTTAAGAAGCAGTAAAAAAAATCGACATAAAAAATTTTGTACTAAAACACTGATTCAAAAGGCTATAAGAAGTCATCCCAAACAAAGCCTAAATTAATCACTCGACCATACAAAATTGATCATAAATGATCCCTCAGATAGGCAATCGCAAAAATGAGAACCAAGATTGATCCCAATTTAATTCCTAAATGACTATTTGGATCAATTTTATATAGTTGAGACAAATTGGATGATTGTTATGCTCTGGCACTATATGGTCACATATGAATAATTGATAAGATTATATTATTTTCCCTATGTGCGCAATAAAATCACAAGCATCTAACTTTGAATATGTACCACCCAAAAAAAGTGATTTTTATATGAGACAGATCGCCAAGTTCCCTACTACCAAGTATTAATTTAGTTCTTAAATTTGCTTTGAGATAACGGCAATATAGAAGTTGATTGAGTATCCATATATTGCATTCATTTCAAAACATATCAAAAAAATTCAAAACTTATGATCATATCTCAATCAGGATATTCTGACCAATATTAATAGTCAGAACATCAATCAAAATTTAGAAAAATTCTTATTTTTCTTTGGGAGAATAACATACTTAACACTTAAACTTACATTTTTATAAACTTAGGCTCTGTTTAAGACGGCTTTCTTACTGCTTCTTAAAGTAGCTTTTTAGTATAAAAATTAAAATTTTTGTACTAAAAAATTGCTTTAAGAAGCAGCAAAAAAGTCGTCTCAAACGAAACCTTAGACTTTATAGGACAACTTTAAATAACTTTTGTTTCCCTGCTTTCAAGAGATATTTATAATAAAAAGTAGCTTTACAAAACAATAAAAAAAAAGTCTTCGACAAAGCCTTAATATCCATGCCATTTTTTGAACTAGCAAGTTCATGTATTTTTATGTGCTACAATCAAATCATTGAATTTTTTACATAAGCGAAAAAAAAAAATATGAGCTGAGATTATGTTGAGAATTTCTATATTTGAGCGAAAATTTAAAAATTGAAGATTCAATGATGTTTATTTGAATGTTATGAATATAATTTAGGTGCAACCAGTGCACTGAATCCCATCAGAACTCCACAGCTAAACGTGTTTGGGTGATATTAGTACTAAAATGGGTGACCTCCTGGGAGGTCACCGTGTTGCACCCTTTGCCAAACCACATTGTAGGATAAAGACTTCATGTTGTTGTTGTACTATCAAGGTAATTGATATCATCTAATTCAAATATTTTTCTCACATAAACACTAGAGAAATAAATTAAACAGTCAACCTAGAAATGACTAGGTACTTGACAAACAAACTATTAGACTAAACAAGGGAACATGTTCATTGGCATTGAAAAGACTTAACTTAGACAGCTAAGTTAAAACAATACCACAGCACTTGCCAAAACCAAACAAGCCAGAGTGCTTTTACACCTTTCCTTTTTCACCTTAGCAGAAGATATTTTTAAAACTTGATATCAATATCTTAACATCATCTTAATAGAAATGATGGGAACTCCCTATAGAATAAACTTGTCATTCCATATTTCAATAACAGAAAGAAAGCATAATACTACAAGGAGAGGATCAAAAAAAGAGAGGAGATTAAAATATATATTTATGTATTGGATGCTTAAGAATAGCATTGAAGCGATCCTTACAGAAGCTGGATAAGAATGGCTAATACATTTCAAGGAGCTAAGGCAGGAGTTACCAGAACGGCAGTTTTCCCAGCCACCGGCCGGAAGGTGGAAGCAGCCTTCTCCAGTTGTTCCCATTTCATCCTCTTCCTTTCCTCTGTTGCTGGCAGCTTCCTTTCCTCTTCTTCAAGCTTCCTCTGACAAGCTAAAACTAGCTCCTCATCCATTTCTGAGAACATCTTCTTGGCATTCAGTGTCAAGTTCAAGACTGCCTGGCTCCAGTGGCTGCTAGCATTCCTCTCCAGGGCTGGAATGATGAGAGGCACAATTACCTGGCGGTTCTGAGCTACCATGCCCATGATATGGTCGTTATTCCATAACAACAGTACTCTCTCTGCAACCTGAAATGTTGGTAGAATAGTATGAAATCAGGGAAACAAAACTGGGAGGTACGTTAATGCGAGGCTGCTTTCAGTTGGGGAAGCCAAGAGGGCTTGGGGTGCCAAGGCCACCTATATTTTAGCACAAAAAAAATTCCCTACTCTGTGAAAAAACAGGAGTTTCTGAATAAACTGATTGACTTTATCAAAGTAGTATCTTCATCAACATTTAGAATTAGGAAGATCAGGGAGATAGCGAACTGATTTCATAGCAATTAAAGGCACGCTTAGCTTACAAACCAACATGCAAACATCTAAAATCAGTACTATATTTCAATTTTTAGAAATTACTAACTTCGGAGATGAATACAGTTTTTTATTCATGATACCAACCTAAAAACAATTTCTATTAAACTAAAAAAAGCAACAAGACAAAGAAGCTCAGACTAATCTTACAACTTTTTCTGCACCTCATGTGCCTGAGGCACTTTTGCTTATATGATCTCAAATTGGATATCTGAAACTAAGGCTTCTTTTGGAACGACTTTCTTACTGTCAGCTTTTTAGTACAGAAATTCTAATTTTTGTTCAAAAAAGTTGCTTTAAGAGCAATAAAAAATCCGTTCCAAACGAAGCCTAAGTCATCCATTAAACACATATTAGTTCAGGATGTTTGTACCAACAACCGAGCTTCAATATTTTTAAATTTTCCAGTTAAACAGTAAAAGTTCTCTTTCCATAATAATATTTGCAATCCAGTTGATGGACACTCACTCTTCTTAAATTGTTTGAGAGCTATATCTATAGTATCAACGATTGGACTTGCAAATCTCAAACTAGCAAGAATGATCATGAAAAGAAAATAATGTTAGGTCAGTCAAGAGGTCAAGAGGCAAACTCTGGTAATTTCACATTAAGGGACAGGAATGGAAAGATTGCAATGAGTAGAAGACAGTATAAAACAGCAAATACCCCACATCATAGCTTCCAAGAATTAACCAACTGAAAAACAATAATCTTTGCGTTAAAGAATGGTTACAACTAAGTTTAAAAGCACAAATTTACATGAAAAAACTACAGAAAATAGATGGCTGGCAGTCAGTAGTTAAGTTACAGATCTCATAATTTTAGCGAACATCAGAAAACTCAACTGACATCAAGATGGATATAGATTAATTGATGTTATCATATATAACAAAAAAAAAATACAAATAAACAAATTAAGGATTTACATTTCTATAATATCATCCTTCAATATATTAACATGGAAGCTAACTCTTTTGTGCAGATTTAAGCATGCAACTTCTTAATGAGCAGGGCTCAAACTTAAAAAAAACGCTCAAAGGGTTTAGTAATATCAAGGAGGTAGGACATAAAATGCCAATTGCCAATAACACATTAGGTATCAAACACCATGGGAATTGGATTTTAGTGATACTGTGTCTTCAACCATCTCTGAACAACAAAGTGCTCTTCAGAGGAAGAAATATGGTATAAATTGGTGGTAGAAATAAAATAATTGCAGCTTCATGTTAGAAAGTTGAGATTGCTAGCAGTGAATATTAATTTCCATTCAAAAGAAAAATTAAAATTTAAAAATGATAAAAAAAAAATAATAGTAAATCTGACAAAAAGATATGTACAAATTGTAGAGGATGAATTTTGAAGAAACTCACATTCTAAATTTAGCATATAATTAGGAAGGAAATATTGATCAGCATAAAAACTTCTCCAACTCATATTTTCCACATTGATGGAAAGGATACATCACAGATACTCTCACAAGTAAAATTAAATTGGTAGCAATAAGGCAGATTGATATTGCAACAATTACTCTACATTATATCTATAAGGTTTACCTGAAAGTGGGGACTGTTAAGGCAGCAAGCAATCCTCCGAAACAAAGGTACCATACACTTTTGCAACTCAATTGCATTCGTCGATTCCAAAATCTCCTCTAACTCACTTAAGAACATAACCTCCTTCTGACTATTTGTCAAGGGCCAGTACTTCAACAACCCCATTATAACTGTACTTGCTAGCCTTGGCTCTTTCTCTATAAATTGTGTCACACAGTAAGTCAGCTGTTGCATGTAAATTCCTACAGCCTTAGTTTTATGAAGAGGAAGCAGTGCCCTGCAAAGAAAGATCTTGTGTTCCTCTTTCAAAGGTAAAGCAAAACCACTAATCACACTTCCAAGAACCTCCAACAACTCTGCAATCCCATTATGCCGCTCCGTTTCAAAGATAAAACGGAAAAATATATTGCTAACAGCTTTGCGAATGAAAGGCCTGTGAACCATGAACTTTCCATAAACTCTGTGTAAGATTGTTTTCAAACACTCTCTTTCCCTTGGATCCTCAGAGTCAAACAGATCTAACAATCTCAATATGAAGTAATGATCAACATACTTCTTTGCCGCCTTGGCATCGAGGGATGGGGAAGCAATAAATTGAAGCAATAATTCATAGACAAGTTGCAAATGCGACCATGCAGGATCAAACATTGGTTCTTCTTCCTCATACTCACCACCCCCTCTGCTGGATCGATAATTTGGTGGGAAAACCCTAAATAGGTTAGAGGCAAACATCTTGTAGCTTTCTTCAATCATGGCCTCAGTGAACCGAGGACGAGAATGGACATAGTCCACAAGATCTACCAAAGTCTGACGCTTTATGTCTTTCTCAGCTGAGTTCTTGTCTGGATCAGAGAAATCAAAGACTACAGAGCAAATATTCAACTTGCTAATGAAAAGGTTAGATTTTTCTGCATTGGAGACATCTCTAAAGGAGAGAAGCGGTTCAATTCCAGCCACTACACTGGAGGGGAACACAGAAGAGGTCATCCGTTTCACAGCAGCAGCAGATTTGCTGGATGCTGGATTGCCAATGCTAGAACTTTGTATTGGGTTACCAAAATTTGCACCACCACCATTGGAATTGCTGGACGAGAATGAATCTGAAGTGGCCTCAGATTTCGAGGACTTGCGTTGTAATTTGCTAACGAACTGCTTCCACATGATGCCAAAATTGCAGGGAAATTTCGAAGAAGCCCTAGTTGGAGATCATGGTATGGAAAAGGTAATAAATTGGAACTCCAGCGAAGGCTCAAGAAAGAAGTATGAACCAGCAAGCAATGGATTTAATCAGGCAAGATAACATATATCCACAGGGGCGGAACCAGCTTCAATTTTGAGGGGGGCAAATACAGCATGCAAATAATTAAATATTAAAAAAATAATATTATATATCTATATATTACGAAAAAAAATTTTAAAAGAATTTAAGCAAGAAAAAAAAAAGAAAAAAAGTGTAATTAAACTGTCATGAAAAGCATGAAAAAAAAAATTAGAACTAAATGTAAATAAATATATAGATATTTTAGTGCAAGTTAGGACAAAATAAATTTTTAAGGGGGGCAAAAGTAACTTTTTAGGAGGAGCAAAAAAAAATTTTTACTCTCCAATTTAAAAAAAAAAAAATTGAGGGGGGGGCAAGGCCCTAAGGAACCTATTTTATTGCATCACATTCTCAAACCCTAAGAATTTTAGTTGACAGCAAAAATAATTGTTGATATCAAGCAACTTGTAATTTCCACTTATTGGCAACGCCCAAGCCCTTGAAAGGACCTTTATATACTATTCATGTGCAGGCTTTTGGAAAAAAATAAAAGCTAAACAAGAATGTCTGCTCAGCTTCACTGCAATAATGTTCCAAGAGAAAACTTGGCTAAAAAAGACTATCCATTATCCAATCATATCAGCCAAATAGTATCTCATGCCTTCCCACCTCAATGCATTCATAATGCACAATTTCTACCTCTTCCATCAATGTTGCTAAACTATCATATATCTCCCCAGATTGAGGGTGAGATCTATCTTCAGCATTAAATGAATGCAGCTTCTTATTAACCTCAATCCAACTCCAACCAGGCACTTTAGTCACTCCTCTATCTCTCATTGCCCTTTGTATCATAGCCCTTCCATCCCAATACCCAAAACCAGCATACATATTGGAGAGAATAACATAAGTAGAATGAACCGTTGGCTCCGATTCTAGCAAACTCTTAGCAATATGGCTAGCCAAATCCATATTTCCATGTATTCTACATGCACCCAAGAGAGTCATCCAAACCATGGAATCTGGTTCAAAGGGCATTGATTCAATAAGATCTTTAGCTTCTGTAAGATTTCCAGCTCTACCAAATAGATCAACTCCACATGCATAGTGCTCCATTCGCAATGGAATCCCATAGGTTGGCTGAATAGATTTTAAAATTTTGGAGCCTTCTTTGACTAAACCACTATGACTGCATGCAGAGAGAAGGCCTACAAATGTTATGTGATCTGCTTTTACACCAAGTTCTTGCATTTTATGGAAGAGATCTAGAGCAATCTCACCTAGTCCATGTTGCGCGTACCCAAAAATTATTGAATTCCAAATCACTGAGCTATCTTTACAACTCTCATCAAAAGACTTTTTGGCATCAACAATGATCCCACATTTAGAATACAAGTATATCAATGAACTAGATACAAAGTCATTTGAACCGAAACCTGATTTCAGGACTAGACCATGAACTTGCTGACCGAACTGAAGGACTGCCAAATCTGAGCAAGAACGAAGAGTAGCGGAGAATGCATAGTGATCAATCCTAACACTTACAGCTTGCATGTGGCAAAAGAACTTCAATGCATCCTCACTGAACCCATTTTGTGAGAATCCAGTTAATATAGAATTCCATGAAACAGCATCTCTGAACTCAATTGAATTGAAGCACTTCACTGCATCCTCCACATTACAAATGTCATTGGACCTGATGTACATACCTATGAGAGCATTAGAAATTGAGGGTGCCCCTTCCATACCACTTTTAACAACTAATGCATGTAATATCCTTCCTTGGCTGATCTGTCCACACTCAAAGCAAGCACTTATCACACTAGTAAAAGTATAGATATCAAAGGCAATCCCAATATCTTGCATTCTCATAAACAGCTTAACTGCATCTCCCATGAAGCCATGGTCAGCATAAGCCGCAAGCATAGAATTCCAAGTTACCAAGTCTCTAATGCCCACCATGTCCTCAAATACCTTCTTTGAGTCTATAATAGACTGACATTCAGAGTAAGCTGTGATAGCTGCATTGTACACAATGGCATCAACCACCCAACCAAACTTAATTATCTTAGCATGCACTTGAACCATCACCTTGTAACATGAACGATCATTAAGCAAAGGTAACAAGCTAGCAAATGAAGATTCATCAGGTTTCAAACCTTCCCTCTCCATCTGACAAAAGAGCAAATAAGCAGTACTGGCATCACCTTCTTTAGCATAGCCTGATATAATGGTATTCCATGAGACAGTATTAGGCTCGGCTATCGACTTGAATGCCAAATGAGCATCACTTAAGCTACCACACTTAGCATACATGTCTACCAGTGCACTTCCTGAGAATACATTTCGATCAAGGCCTGTTTTCACGACAAAAGAATGCAGCTGGTTCCCTATAACCAATTGAAAGGAGCAAGAAACTGACTTGAGAACACTTCCAAGAGTGTACTGATTGCAGAATAACCTCTTATGAAGCATCTTTCCAAAGAGAAGGCAGGCATGCTCATAGCTTCCCCTAAGCACATAACCTGCAATGAGAGAGTTCCAAGATACAATATCTCTTTGAGGAATTTCGTCAAACAGTTTTTGTGCGTCATCAAGTTCACTCCACCTGCAATAATCAGCTAAAACGTTGTTCCAAGTATATGTATCTGTGAACTTCCGAGATTTTATCAAAAAGCCATGCGTTCTGAAGGCGGAGACCAAATTAGGAGTATTTCTGCCCCTCGAGGAAGAATAATATCTGGTTTGGGAAGGATTGGATAGCAACAAGTGTTTCAATGGCATTATTTGGTAGAGACATCTACGAGCTAAGTGATTTAATAAATAGAAAGTAAGGTAGAGATAGAAAGCACTGTTTCTTCAAGGTTCTCTTCTGCGATATCTCCATGGGTCTCATTTCAACAATCTAAAATTACAGGAAAACAACAGTAAAATCGATTGAAGATCAAAGCAAACAAGAAAAAGGAATCGAGCGTTATCCTTACAAGAGATGATGGAAGGAAAACGAAGGGGGGATATTAAAATGTGTTTATTTGAAGAAATTATTACTTGCGAAGTCCAGACAAGTTTTTACATACTGTATTGAAGTTTATGTATCACGATTTTATTAGAGTCCGGACTCCGCAAATAGTAATTTCTCATTTATTTGACAAAAGATGGGAATGTAACTCTCAACGAAATCAAGCATCTAAACAACTTGAACTTTGATCGAAATCTGACCTCACCCTTCAAGAGTTCCTTTGGACAGTGGTCTAAGCAAGAAATTATTACATGCAGAGTCCGGACAGTCTATCTCTTGTACAATGTATACAATTTGTACATAGTCTGTATATAAATTATACACAGGTTGTGTACATGTTGACGTGACCTATTCTGATTGGAGTCCAAATGTAAGCTACGTCTAGACTCCACACATAATAATTTCTTTATCTAAGCCAACCAAGGAGCTCGCTCTAAACAATACAAATCAATAGGAACTTATGACCAAAAACAGTCTCTTTCACAGAAAATCTCAAATTCCACCACGTAAGAATAGAGAAACAGATCAACCACATCAAGAGAGGAAAATGCCTAGATCTTTTACGTAAATGCAATGAGAAAAGCTCAAAGAACAGAGCGAAAAATGACAAATTTAACCGTTTAAAGAAACTATAATTGGATAACGTATGAACCTGCGAGGAGTAAATTGGAGAATGGCGAAAGACAATTCCCTGGTTTCGAAGACAAAAGTACTATGCGAATAGCTGTGATCTACCTGCATTCAAGTACAGATTCATGAGAAATGGCTTGAAATGGTAAGAAACCTGATCTCCGCGAGAAAATCTTAACTGATGAGAACCCACCACTGAACCCTAGAAATTTATCGGTAGAGACGACCTGACGCCCCAAGGTCCAAGCTTTGGAATATGGTTAGCGAGATCTCGATTCGGGGAGCAGGCAGGCAAGCTCAAGATGGAGCTCCGAGGAGGTCGGAGCCATTGGAGCTGCCGCAGAGCTTAGCAAGCGCCATTGTCGGATTATCTCGAGGCTTCCTCCAAAGAAGGCAGCTTTGCAGTGGATTGAACGGAGAAAATGTAAATATTTGAAGTAACCTGCCTGCCTTTGTAAAAAAAAAGTGATTTTTCAGAGAAATACATAATTAATTTAAATTAAAAAAAAGATTTTTTTTTTTTTATTAGATAAAACTCGTCAGCCATCAGCCATCTCCTCCTACCCAGGTGGACCATGAAGCGGACGATAAGAGGACATGGCTAGCCGGCCACCTTTTTGTCCACATTTTTTAATTTTTTTATTCATTCGGTTAATATTTAATTTTTAAAAAAATTAAATGTTTTACCGTTTGAAAATAATCATATTATAGTGAAATATTTGTTTTTTGGTTGAGATTTCTTTTTTATTGTGATTGTTGCAAAACAAAACCCTTCATTTTTTTTAACTGTTTGGTAAGCATATAAATACCCCTTTAATTTTTATATAATGAAAATTAAAATTTTAAAGCAAACTCTCAATTTCTCATAATATTTTTTTAGTTGTTGCGTCCTGGAGTATTCGAGGCGGTAGATATATATAGTTTAACGTCTTAACATTGTATGAAGATCCAGCACACAATCAGAGAAGAGAGAGAGTGTAACATTCATAAGAGGCACCAGAGTTTTTACGTGAAAACCCCTGAAAAGGGGGAAAAATCACGAGGCTTGGCCTAGTTTGAATGAATCCACTAGTATTTGCAGTTGATTACAAATGAGGCCCTTGTGTATAGGTGGTCGTTTTGTCTCGACGTATGCGATGAAACGAGTTCTCGGAGTTTTAGGGTTTAGGAGTTATACCTTAGCTTTCGTCGGCGTCGGATTGAGAGAGAAAGAGGGGCATTTATTATTATTATTATTATTATTATTATTATTAACTAACTTAGAGTTAATTATAATTTAATTTTAATTAATTAAAATTAATATACAATTAATTCATTAATAATTAATATTATCTAAACATGATTAACCTTAATTAATCATGATTAAATATTAATTATGATTAATATAATTAACTATAATTAATTTAACTAATTGCCTTTAATTTATAATTAAAACTAATTAATAATATTATTTTTATTATTAAATAAAATAAAATCCCTCTCCTCTCCTCATCTCTTCTCGGCAAATTTATAAGATTTGGTCGAGAAGCGCGCCTGAGGGAGAGAGTTACCTTCACGGCAAGAACTCCCGTTGTTGCTTCGATTAAAATGTCGTGACTTTCGGTCCGAATGGAAGGGAGAGTCGCAGAAGGTGCGGAGTCGGGCGGCTAAGGAGGAGTCAGAGAAGCGTCGCAAGGGAGAAAGTTACCCTTAGCATCCAGCGAACTCCTGCTCGATGCTTCCGATCGGAAGTGTCGTAACTTCCGAACTGGTAGGAAGGGAAAGTCGTTGAGCGAACAAAGTCGAACGGCGACAAGAGACCGAAGCAGCGCGCGAGAGGGAGAAGAGGAAGTCCGGTTCGACACGAACGCCGAGAAAAGAGAGTGAAGGAGAGCATTTTATTAATATTAATTATTAACTAGAGTTAATTATAATTAAACTCAACAAATTAATTATAATTAATACAACCGTATTAGAAGCTCAAAAAAAAAATAACATCACTAAAAGCTTAATAATCAAAATAGGATAACACATATGTTATTTATATTTATAAAATTAATATATAATTACCTCCATTTATTAATAACATCACTGAAAGCTCAAAAATAAAAATAAATTTTAACCAATTTTTTTCTTTTTAATAATTAAGTGATGTCACTTAACGATGCAATAGTTGTTCCTTCACTAGCGCTAGAGCTGGGATGAAAGATTTGTCTATGCATGAATGAGATAGTACTGAGTATGCATTGGGTGAGTGAGATAGAGGGTGAGTTTCAAGATAAATAGTGTGTCTGCGAGCTGACATGGAGTTCGACGAACTTTGCAGTGTGAGACTGATTTGGAGTTGCGAAAACCTGTGTTGAGTCTTGGATCACCACGAGAGAACATGCAAGTGAATTGAGGTAACTGAGGGAAGATATTATGGTAGGCATTGCTAGGGCTAATAGGAAGCCCTAGATGAGAGCTTTCCTTTAATTGAGCTTGAATAAAGGGATGATAGCTTTGACGAGAGAGCTAATGAGTAAGATAGCTATCACTGATCATATGTCTGCCCAAAAAACTATCTTTGATTTGTATTGTTTAGAGCGAGCTCCTTGGTTGGCTTAGACAAAGAAATTATTATGTGTGGAGTCTTGGCGTAGCTTACATTTGGACTCCAATCAGAATAGGTCACGTTAACATGTACACAACCTGTGTATAATTTATACACAGACTATGTACAAATTGTATACATTGTACAAGAGATAGACGTTGTCCAGACTCTGCATGTAATAACTTCTTGCTTAGACCATTGTCCAAAGGAACTCTTGAAAGGTGAGGTCAGATTTCGATCAAAGTTCAAGTTGTTTAGATGCTTGATTTCGTTGAGAGTTACATTCCCATCTTTTGTCAAATAAATGAGAAATTACTATTTGTGGAGTTCGGACTCTAATAAAATCGTGATACATAAACATGAATACAGTATGTAAAAACTTGTCTGGACTTCGCAAATAATAATTTCTTCAAATAAACACATTTTAATATCCCCCCCTTTGTTTTCCTTCCATTACCTCTTGTAAGGATAACGCTAGATTCCTTTTTCTTGTTTGCTTTGATCTTCAATCGATTTTACTGTTGTTTTCCTGTAATTTTATATTGTTGAAATGAGACCCATGGAGATATCGCAGAAGAGAACCTTGAAGAAACAGTGCTTTCTATCTCTACCTTACTTTCTATTTTTTAAATCACTTAACTCGTTGATGTCTCTAACAAATAATGCCATTGAAACACTTGTTGCTATCCAATCCTTCCCAAACCAGATATTATTCTTCCTCGAGGGGCAGAAATACTCCTAATTTGGTCTCCGCCTTCAGAACACATGGCTTTTTGATAAAGTCTGGGAAGTTCACAGATTCATATACTTGGAACAACATTTTAGCTGATTATTGCAGGTGGAGTGAACTTGATGATGCACAAAAACTGTTTGACGAAATTCCTCAAAGAGATACTGTATCTTGGAACTCTCTCATTGTATGTAATGTGCTTAGAGGAAACTATGAGCATGCCTGCATTCTCTTTGGAAAGATGCTTCAGAAGAGGTTATTCTGCAATCAGTACACTCTTAAAAGTGTTCTCAAGTCAGTTTCTTGCACCTTTCAATTGGTTATAGGGAACCAGCTGCATTCTTTTGTCGTGAAAATAGGCCTTGATCGAAATGTATTCTCAGGAACTGCACTAGTAGACATGTATGCTAAGTGTGGTAGCTTAAGTGATGCTCATTTGGCATTCAAGTCGATAGCCGAACCTAATACTGTCTCATGGAATACCATTATATCATGTTATGCTAAAAGAAGGTGATGCCAGTACTGCCTATTTGCTCTTTTGTCAGATGGAGAGGGAAGGTTTGAAACCTGATGAATCTTCATTTGCTAGCTTGTTACCTTTGCTTAATGATCGTTCATGTTGCAAGGTGATGGTTCAAGTGCATGCTACGATAATTAAGTTTGGTTCGGTGGTTGATGCCATTGTGTACAACGCAGCTATCACAGCTTACTCTGAATGTCAGTCTATTATAGACTCTGAGAAGGTATTTGAGGACATGGTGGGCATTAGAGACTTGGTAACTTGGAATTCTATGCTTGTGGCTTATGCTGACCATGGCTTCATGGGAGATGCAGTTAAGCTGTTTATGAGAATGCAAGATATTGGGATTGCCTTTGATATCTATACTTTTACTAGTGTGATAAGTGCTTGCTTTGAGTGTGGACAGATCAGCCAAGGAAAGATATTACATGCATTAGTTGTTAAATGTGGTATGGAAGGGACACCCTCAGTTTCTAATGCTCTCATAGGTATGTACATCAGGCCCAATGACGTTTGTAATGTAGAGGATGCAGTGAAGTGCTTCAATTCAATTGAGTTCAGAGATGCTATTTCATGGAATTCTATATTAACTGGATTCTCACAAAATGGGTTTAGTGAGGATGCATTGAAGTTCTTCTGCCACATGCAAGCTGTAAGTGTTAGGATTGATCACTATGCATTCTCTGCTACTCTTCGTTCTTGCTCAGATTTGGCAGTCCTTCTGTTCGATCAGCAAGTTCATGGTCTAGTCCTGAAATCAGGTTTCAGTTCAAATGACTTTGTATCTAGTTCATTGATATACTTGTATTCTAAATGTGGGATCATTGTTGATGCCAAAAAGTCTTTTGATGAGAGTTGTAAAGATAGCTCAATGACTTGGAATTCAATAATTTTTGGGTACGCACAACATGGACTAGGTGAGATTGCTCTGGATCTCTTCCATAAAATGCAACAACTTGGTGTAAAAGCAGATCATATAACATTTGTAGGCCTTCTCTCTACATGCAGTCACAGTGGTTTAGTCAAAGAAGGCTCCAAAATTTTAAAATCTATTCAGCCAACCTATGGGATTCCATTGCGAATAGAGCACTATGCATGTGGAGTTGATCTATTTGGTAGAGCTGGAAATCTTACAGAAGCTAAATATCTTACTGAATCAATGCCCTTTGAACCAAATTCCATGGTTTGGATGACTCTCTTGGGTGCATGTAGAATATATGGAAATATGGATTTGGCTAGCCATATTGCTAAGAGTTTGCTAGAATCGGAGCCAACGGTTCATTCTACTTATGTTATTCTCTCCAATATGTATGCTGGTTTTGGGTATTGGGATGGAAGGGCTATGATACAAAGGGAAATGAGGGATAGAAGAGTGACTAAAGTGCCTGGTTGGAGTTGGATTGAGGTTAATAAGAAGCTGCATTCATTTAATGCTGAAGATATATCTCACCCTCAATCTGGGGAGATATATGATAGTTTAGCAACATTGATGGAAGAGGTAGAAATTGTGCATTATGAATGCATTGAGGTGGGAAGGCATGAGATACTATTTGGCTTATATGATTGGATAATGGATAGTCTTTTTCAGCCAAGTTTTCTCTTGGAACATTATTGCAGTGAAGCTGAGCAGACATTCTTGTTTAGCTTTTATTTTTTTCCAAAAGCCCGCACATAAATAGTATATAAAGGTCCTTTCAAGGGTGTGGGCATTGCCAATAAGTGGAAATTACAAGTTGCTTGATATCAGCAATTATTTTTGCTGTCAACTGAAATTCTTAGGGTTTGAGAAGGTGATGCAATCAAATACCTATTTTTAATTAGTTATTTTGTGCTTTAGGCTCAAGGTGACAGTTGAATATACCACACTGTTTATTCATTCAGAATTAATCGGCATTTTAGGAAGACGTTTATCACTAGTCTCTGTCTCTTCCTTTTTATGAGAACAGATTCTTCCCTAAAAAGCTGGAGTTTAGTTTATAATTGGTTCACATGGTATATTGTCATAAAATATATTCTTTTTCTTAGTGACGAGGATGCTCAGGTGGTTGAGTTCCTTTATTTTAGAGACAAGATACGAAACAAGCATATATACATGAAAAGATTGGAGTAGCTCTAGTGGAAGATCAGATTAGAGAAAATTGCCTTAGATGGTTTGGTCACATAAAACAGAGGCCTTTAGATGACCTGGTTAGGAGAGTAGATATATTAGATTTGATTTATGTTTAGAAATGTAGAGGTAGACTTAAAAAGATTTGGTTAGGAAATATTAGAAATGATATTTCTTTATTAGATTCAAATGGAATTTGATCCTTAATAGGACACAATGGAGAAAAAGGATTTATGTAGCGAACCCCAAGTAGTGGGATCCAGGCTTGATGTTGTTGTTGTTGTATGGACCTTTGTAAGGATTCAACTGTAGTGTATGCCATTTAATTTTGGTTGCATGTGTACCTACATTGGGCAGCCTTTTGTTGCGATCTTTCTGTGATCTTCACTTGTTCTTGCAGCATGGCTTATCTAACAAGGCTGCGATTTGTCATGCGGGTGCCATTTGAAAGCTGATTTATCTCTATTTCTATTGCATATAGGAAATTACATAGACATTGTGATTAAATATATTGGATTTATCATGAACACAACTTGATGATTGGAGCTCCTTGAGTTAAAGTTTAGTTGGATGTTCTATTAATTGTATGTACTCCTGAGTATCAAATCCTCGACCAAATGAGAGATTTGAAGATTTCTGGGAAATATTCTCTCCATGCACAAGTGTGACATCTACTTTTAATAAATTCTTTCCTTTTAATCCTTACTATAAATTTAACTATTAGATTAATCTTGTAATTGATTTTATTCAACTTGAATTTCAACAAGTTTAAGGATTTTAACTTATTATGCGATTTTCTTGACTCTAAAAGTCAATTTTCTTTTTATAGTAGAAGATCATTGTAGTTTCATTTGAATTGATTTCCTTCTTTTTTAATTTTATTGAAAGTACCAAGTAATCTTAAGAAGACTATGATTTCGTTTGAGACTGCTTTCTTATTGCGTTAGCAACTTTTTAGTACAAAATTTTTTATACTAGAAAATTATTTTAGAAAACAGTATGAAAGCTATCCCAAACGAATCCTTTAAAAGTTTGTGAGTTATGAAATAGTGTTCTTGTTGCATATTTTTTTGCATATCATAATAAATTTGCATTAGGAACCCTAGACTTATAAAGAAGATGAGCCACTTACCTATCTAATATCAATTGTTTCAAGAATTGCAATTTTTTAGTGCTTAAAAAGAGATTAATAGTAGAACATCAAGTATAAGTTCTTCTACTAGGAAAATTTTATTTTCTTCAGAAAATATTTACTGTGACAAATCTTGTTTTATGCAGGATAATGAGGAGTTTGTAGCTGATTTAGGAAACTCTACTATGGCATCCATTCTTGACAGAGCCAAATGACTGAAAATAACAGATGCTTGGGCTAATTTGATTACAGGTATGTGCCATTTGATAGTTCACAAGAATTTGCAGTAGTGCTATACTAGTATGCCATTTAGGTTTTGTTTGGAACTACTTTCTTACTTCTTTTTAAAGCAGCTTTCTAATACAAAAAAAAAAAATACTAAAAAGCAGCTTTAAGAAGCAGTAAGAAAGCCATTCCAAATGAAGCTTTAGAATGATTTTGTGCACAAATTTATTAATATCGAAGGGCCTGTGTTAGAAAACAATTATATCAGGAGTGTGCAATTATTCCTACAATTATTCATAAACAAGACAATCTGCATAAACTACAATACATTTCTATATAAATTACAAGATGGTTCTGTAAACATTATAACTTTTTTTACTATTTGACAATTTGATCTATCTTATTGTTACTAAAGAATTGTTCTGTTGTTTATGAATAATTGTCTTGCATAACTTATTAATTTGAGCAAAAAAAAAAAAAATCTAAATGATTCTAGACGATTTATAAGTGGTTGTTTTAATCCCGGATTATCTAATAAGTCTAATTTTGTTCCTTGATTTCTCAATTTCAATCCAAATTAATCTCATGATTGTTTGAATTTGATTCAAGATAATCGAATAGAGAGATTATTTTGGATCATATTTGAGTAGCCAATGAACAAAATTGAACAAATTAAAAGTAGATATTAAACGAGTAAAAGCTCAAAATAGTCCACTGTCTATTTATAAATGTTCAATTCAGTTCTGGCTTTCATAATAACTCAAATGTCAAATTAATCCTAACAGTTAAATGTGAGAGCATTTTGGATATTAGGGTGTATGTAAACTTATATTTTTTTTTTATATATTTTATTATTTATTATATTAATATAAATATAAAGATCATAATAGAAGTTAAACAACTAAATAGCAAGAGTGAATAATTAATAAAAGATAGATCATATAGAATTTGATACCCTTTTTTTATACAAAATTGTTATAATTGATTACAAAAATCCAAATTGTTTTTACAAAAATGATATCATTCATCACAAAACACAAAAAGATGATGTTACAAAAGAAAAAGTTCTCTAATGATTCCATTAAACAACAAGAGTGAACCTGTAAGTATTGCAATATTCTACCTTCGAAATAATGCCGTCCTCGACATTCCAACATATCTGATCACCCATCAACTATATCTGGACAAAGCTGCCTCATCTCAAACACTTTTTCCTATTTAGGTTCTATTTCTAATTTATGATTCCATTAAACTTTCACAATAGAAATCTGTTTTATTTCTTAACTATTTCATGTCATAAGCTAGTATACAATCAAATTCTTCTTTACAGGTCAAATTAAAACATAATTGTACGTCAGTCTCTGATACTCTTTATACTTAATCTGGAAGCCATTTTAATTGAAACAACAAACTTGAATTAAATAGTTAACATTAGACATTGTATGTATAAGCATGTCCTTAAGCATCCTAGGATTATGATGTAGATATGATAGGTTTTTTTTATATATATTCACTTAGCTAAGTGTAGGGGTGTCAATATTTGACATGATCTGAAAATACGACTTGAACTCGATCCGAAAATTATGAGTTAGGATTAACTCGTTTGAGAAATGGGTCGGGTCAACTCGGTAACTTATGTGGGTCGAGTCTGGGTTGAAATACTTAGACCCGTTTGCAAAAACGAGTCAGGTTCAGGTTGGGTCAGTTTTGGGTTCGATCCAAATCCAACCTATAATCCGATTTTGACAGCCCTAGCTAAGTGTTACAATAATGATTTAATGCCCCTCTTGGCTATAATTATGCACATTATGCTAGAGGTATTTTCTTCTTATCTGTGTTGTTTTGTGTATTAGCACAATGTTGTGCTAGGCTGAACAAAATTCATAGGAAATATGTAGGTAATAATTAGGGGTGTCAATATTTGACATGACATGAAAACCCAACTTGAATCCGACACGAAAATTTCAGGTTCAGGTCAACCTGAACATAAAATGGGACGGGTTCGGGTCCTAATTTTTGACGGTTTCAAATTTCAGGTCGGGTTCGGGTTTACCCGAAAACCCGAAAATGACCCTGATTTTGATCCGGAATACTGTAGCAGGGGCTTACTTACGGGATTTGGCCGTAGAAGCACACGAAATGGAGAATTTGAGACCTTCATAGCCAATGAACTCCTGTCATTGCTTCGTATTCAAAATGTTGTAACTTCAGATCCAAATTGAAGGGGACGTCGTGCGAGGAGTGAAGTCAAATATCAAGCGAGTGAACTCCCGTCCCGTCATTACTTTCGATCAAAATGTTGTATCTTCAGATCTGAACTTAAGGGAATGACGTCCAAGGAGCGAAGTCGAATAGCTAGCGAGCGAACTTCTGTTGTTGCTTTCGTTCAAAATGTTGTAACAATGTAACTTCCGATCTGACCGAAAGTGAACGTCGTGAGTTGTCCAAGGTGGCAAGCAGGCAAGGAACGAAGTTGAACAGCATTACAACAACGAAGTTGCCGGTGAGGCGACTCCTTTCACAACAAGTGAACTCTCGTCATTGCTTCCGATCAAAATGTTGTAACTTTTGATTTGACCGGATGGGAACATCATCCTCGTCCAAGGAGCGAAGTCGAACACGATGAATAACATGCGACTCCTTCACAGCAAGAGAACAACCCGTCATTGCTTCTAATCAAAATGTTGTAACGCCTCCTTTGAGTTTGACTCCTTCACATATACGGGTTGGGTTCGGGTTGACTTGGGTTGACTCGAACACGAAGAGGGTCGGGTTTGGGTCCAAAAAACCGACCCATTTTCAAACAATGTCAGGTCAGTTCGGGGTTGGACCTGAACTCGACTCGTGACCCAATTTTGACAGCCCTAATAATAATTGATGCCCTATGTGTACACTTGATGTAATTTTCATTTAGAAAATCTATGTATGTATGTGGGGGAACCATGAACCAGATGTACATGCACAGGTCGGGTATAGCTAGCTAAGACCAACAAACTCTTATCAATTGGCCAAGATGAGCCTTCATATTAGCCTCTCAAGTACTAATCTTTTATCCTTAATTTATTTAACAACTTAAAAACAATCATAAGAAAATAGATTTCATAAGAAAAATAATACATGCTCTCTCCAAACTTTGATTTCAAGATAATCTAAATTGCTCCTAATAGTTTAAAATATAGCCAATGATTTGATTATTTATATAGCTAACAAAAGTGAAGCTCGTCTTAAAATCAACGCTCTTTAGAGGCTTTTTAGTTGGTTGAAAAAGGAGTGCATTATAAAAAGAATACTTTGGAGTTATTTTGATGAATGTAAAATAAATGCACGTTAATATTTTTTTGTTTGATTAGAAGTAATGAATATAGAGTAAAATGTTAAATGGTGATCACCGACAGTAGGTGGCGGGTGGGAAGCGGTTTGTGGTGGCAGTGGCCGGTGGCGGCGGGGCAGCGGTGGTGGCCGGTGGGTGGCAGTAGGCAGCGGCGGTGGGCGGCGAGTGGCGGTCAAGCAAATTGGTGTAAAGGGGTTTCACCCAAAATCAAAGGAATGTGGTTTACACAAAATGAACTACTTCATTACATTATATTTACTATACTTTACTTTGCATCATTTTGTATTTCAACCAAACACCAAAATTTATAGAACTCATACATTTGAAATACTTTACACCTTAAAATAATCAAACCAAACAACCTCTAAATAAAATCCTACTAAAATTAAATCCAACTTGTTGCCAAAGAGCCCCATCAATATGCTATTTGGTGCACTTACTCTTTTATTTCAACAAATTCTTATTTAACTTTTTTTTTTGAACATTTAGGCCGATTAAGATAAACTCATACATATATCATATACACGAGACTGAATACAAAACCTCTTGATTGATAATAAAAGCTATCAATTAAAAAATCAAGATGAGCTACATATACTTATTTAACTTGGCTTTAAAACTTAAAATTGGGATTTACTAGTCTATTTTATCCAAAAAGTCCTTGAGAGTTTGTTAACACAATTTGGGGCAGTTTGGATATTATTTATGATTAAATTTTATTTAATAGATCTATTCCATTAATTTAACAATTTACTAATTAATAATTAGTTAGGATATTAATATATGATAAGTACAATTTAATTATAATTTATATTTCATTAGTTTTATAATAAATATGATTATTTTTTTTTACTGAATTTTATTGTACTTCTTCATCTAATATGTTAGGATAAATAAATGATTAAAATTTTTTTTTTTCTGAATTTTATTGTACTTGTATCATATGTATTAACTTTGATATCAATAATTATAATTAAAATTTTATTTGTTATTAATAATTATTATTAAAATTATATATATAATTTTTATATTAATATAATATTGACACCCTATCCGACGCAGCGGTTGCAGTGGAGCATCCTATACCAGTATTGCCAACTGAAGGTTTTAACGGAGTTTGTTATTTGCAGTGAAGGATATAAAACCTCCGGGGGGAAAAATGGCGGCCGTCAATTTTGTCGTTTTCTCTCTCACACCGAAGCCCGCAAGTAGCTTCACCTCTCCCTCCACTTCTCTCTCTTCCGCTGTAATTAACGGCGAGAGATTTTCCAGAAGAAGGAGCATGTTCTGTGCTTTTGCAAACCCGAATCCCTCGCCGGAGCTAGACAAACCCTATATCGAGCTCGAGTTCATTGGGGTAACAAAGTGGAATCTCATCTCTCTAGCTTCAAGCAGCATTCATCCATCTCTGATAAATTTTTTGAAATTTGAATGGATTTGCAGCCGAAGGCGGAAGCGGACGGGTCTTATCCGGTGGATAGGACAAGCGCTATCAGCGGGGAGAAGCTTCTCCGAAATATTATGCTCGATAACAAGATCGAGCTCTACGCCGCATATGTAAGATTCCGGGCTAGTCTTCATCTTTACTCCCTTTAATCTCTGATTTTTCCGAGAATGAGGTTTGGAAGTAGAAGCAGTGCTGGAATCGATTTCATTTTGGGATTTGATAGTCTGTCCACTTACCGACAAAACTACCTTCTTTGCAGGGGAAAATTATGAACTGCGGTGGAGGTGGAAGCTGCGGTACGTGTATTGTGGAGGTAAAAGTGGAATGAACTTGGTGAAAGAACTTGTTCAACAATCAGTCGGAAATTTGGAGTGTTTTTGTGCTTTAACATCCTGGCATTTCGATATTAGAGTTTTAAATAATGGTTCACTATTTTGGACTTGTTTTCGAAAAAAATGATAATCAATAGCCATATGTTTCATCAATGAATAAAATATAGGATTTTACATAAAGATGAGCGGCTTAAACAATGTCATAATAAATCGTTGGGGACTAAGGAATCTGAATGCCAAGGTTAATGAGTAGAGGGCAAACCCAATGAAGCTCAATAACTATGGTGACAACATAGCAATATTTAATCTTAGTTTAAAGCCTATAATTATTTGTTTCTTGGGGGCCTGGGGCTCTAGGAGAAGGCGTTTAAGCCAAAACACATGATGTGGGCACTGATAAAGGTGAATTCATTTTGTTACCTACCCAATTGGCATCACAGAATACATTAAGTTGAAGTGTTGAGCCACGATTTAGAGTAAGGCTATGATTGATAGTTTCAAATGAAAAGCGAAGTAGTCATTTTGCTACATTCTTGTAATCTGTAGTGGGGTGGTGTATAAATTGAGATAATTTATTAATTGTGAAGGCTATGTCTAGCTGCATAAGAGTTAAGCATTGAAGATTGCCTACAACAACTACATAATTAGTTGGAACAGTTAACATAAAGCCATAGTAAAAAGAGAGCATTGGTTCATTGGCAAAAGGTGTAGTCTTAGGAGTAGCATCTGTTGGTAAGGCAGCTTCTTGTTCTAGGCTTGGGGTGCTTGTTTGAGGCCATATATGGCTTTATGTATTTTGGACACATGTAGGATGGTCTTGTCGATGACACTTAGGGGTTAAGCTATGAAGGCATCCTTAGAAATATGGCTTTAGAGAAATGCATTATTGACATCTAGTTGATGAAGAGAGCATCATTGGTTGCCAGCTATGCTAAGAATTAAGAACTAGCCGTACAGTGGCAAGCTTAACAACTCGATTGAAGGTGTTAATAGTCAACTTCTATATGTTAGTGGAAACCTCCAGCTACCAACTAAATTTTGTACCTTTTAATAGTTCCAATAGAGTTATGTTTGACAAGGAAGATTCACTTAAAACCAATCAAATTTTTTGTGTTGGTGGGGGGAACAAGTTCTTATGTTCCATTACAAACAAGAGCATCATATTTATCTGATATGCCTCGATACCATTTATGATATTTGAGTGCTTCAATTATTGTGCTTGTTTAAGACTATGTGATTGATTTAATTAATTGTTTGTGATTTTTTTTTTTGTTTTGGTTTTATTTGGCACGAGTGGTTACTTGGTGAATTTTATTAGGGTGGGAGAGGGATTAGGTTATGGTTGTTTTGGAAGAGGCTATAAAGTAGGCTGTAGAGGGAGGGTGGGATTTTAAATGTGGTTTGTTTTGTTATAAGTAGTATTGAGTGGTGTTACAAAGGGGGTGTTGTGGATGATGAATGTGTAAGGACAACATATATGGGGTTGGGGGTTAGGACATCATGAGAAGCTTGTTTTTCTAGTGGTGTCACAAAACATGGAAAGACATGCGTAGGAAAAGATAGACTCAACGAATTGTACATAATGTTATGGTGTCGAGGTAGAGATAATTACCTTGAGTGAGCAAGTAGTTGAGGAAGACACATGATTCAGAGAAAGATTCAAGTTTATTTATGGTGTATAGGCAATGCCGTGGGTAACAGAGCAAGTCAAGCATGCATAGTTTCGAATAGTTAGGAGGTGAGCCAAAAAGCTATTTATATGGAGAAGAGAGGTCAAGTGTGGGGTTGGGAAAATGATTTATGAGGTAATCTATGGTGATGGAAGCATTAATCCTATAGAAAAATGGAATTGATGCATGAGATAATAAAGAGAGATTAATTTTGATAATATATTGATAACATCTTTAGAGATCTATTATATTCATATGTGTGTGGTGGGCTAGTGAGATGAGAAATACTACTGGCGAATAGGATTAGTAGTTTGATAATCACCTTTGCCGTTGGCATATAAGATGTTGATTTTGTTATCTAAGTGTATTTTTATAAATAAACATAAGTTTTTTGCTTAAGTGCATAATATTGAATGTATTTGGTATGGTGATCGACAAAAGTGATATGATACTTTAAATCATTTTAGGATTATACGGGATAGGTTTGCATGTCTTAGAAAAATATTTTAAGAGACTGAGAAGATATAATAGTGGTGGTAGGAAATGAAAGTTAAATTTTATGCTTTAATTTGCATTACAATGGAGTGTTAATGATATTAGGGATGATAAATCTAGTTTGAACTGGGACATATATGCATGAGAGTTGAAGTTGATGGATGGCATAATTTATATTGTCACTTTGATGAAATGGCCTTGACAGTGAAAAAAACTATAATTTGAGGTGGGTGATCTAACGGAAGAGATTTCTCATTCTCAGCACCATCTTTGGGTTTCCCCGTCAAAAGGATTGCCCTCTTATGTAGATTTTTCCATGAAAAATGGTGGGTAGGAGCTTGATAGATAGATAATTAGAAAGATAATTAATATATGAAAATAATTCTTTTTTATTCTGGACACAAAGAACATTATTCAAGGAAAAAAAACGAAAGAGGGTAAAGAGGTGAAATTGATGTGATTTATGGATAAACTTGTTCCATCTCCAATCGTAATGTCATCAAGTCCATCATAAAAAGTGTGAGGTGGGAGAGTGCTGAGGTTGATGATAATGCTTTGAGAAGTCTCATTATTTTGTAGTCATGCAGGAGTAGACCGAGTGTTGTTGGCGTGTTTTGGGCTCATGGCTACCCTAGTGTAGGTGGATGAAACCCATAAGAGCAAGTTTCCAATGAGCGGATGTTTGTGGTGAATTGCAAAGCAATTGGTTAAAAATGGGATACCACGTGATTGTTTGACCTTCAATGTTGCATGATTGACAAGAGTTAAGATATGAGGAATATGGTTAATTATCAAAGTGATGTGTTACATACAAGAGCTTGAGAGAGTGGGAGGGGTGGTGGTTGATAGGGCTTATTACTGAAGCATATTGGGTTTTTGTAGAAGGTGTAAACTAGGATGCGGTGACCACACAATTTATAATACTTGGAGCAATTGGGCAACATGGGAGTAGCTTGAGAAGGAACCATACAATCGAGAGAGGATGATTGATCGAATGACAATGTTGGGCATGGCAACATGTGAAAGAGCTAGGATGTAGATAATACGCTTTTATTTCTCTTTTCCAATTTGTGGAGACGATTGATTGGCTACCCTTGTACTATCATTTTTTTTATCCTTACATTAATAGTAATTGATTTATTGGTCATACTGTAACTCTACTAGACATTTGTGGGATTGCAGAAGAATATTCTTTATCACTAGGCTCATAGGAGCCACCATCAATTTTGTCATCATATGGTCATTGTGTTAAATGCTTTAGCATGGTCAATTTACTCATATAAGAACGAATCTCTTCTATCATTTCTTGAGGCATTTTGGTTGGAAGATTGCCGAAATTACCTTAGGATACTACTGAATTGGAGAGCAACGCAATTTTAATTTTAATTGATTAATTAAAATTAAATAATAAAAATAATTAACTATTTGAAATTGATTACTCATTTAATTGAAATTGGTTAATTAAAATTAATTGAAATTAATTAATGAAGGTTAATTGATGAATTAAAATTAATTGATTTACTGAAATTAGTTAATTAAAATTCATTGATCAATTGTAATTCATTAATTAAAATTAGTTGGTTAATTAAAATTAATTAATCAAAATAAAATTAATTATCAGTGAGCAAATTTGAATTTCGTGAGCAATTTAAAATCCGAGATCAAATTTAATTAATTGGTTAATTAATTATCTGAGAGCAAACTTAAAATTCGAGAGCGATAAAATTTAAAATAATTAATTGGTTAATCAAATTTTACTTCATTAAATTAATCAATCAATTATTTAATATAGAGAGAGCCACTTTGGTAGGTGAGGGTTTTTGTTTAAAATAAAAAAAAGAGAAGAAAAAGAGCAGTAATGTTTCCACTAATCAACATGTACAACTCAAAACTATACACCAAACACTACCCTCCAAACTCTGAGCAAGAGCTCACAAACCTCTTAAACACCAAGACAAGAAAAAAAAAACTCTTAAACACTACTCTCCAAACTCTCATGTGCAAACCGTCTAAACTTTGAAACACCACAAACTGAAACTCTCAAAAGCTCCAAAAGCAACTCTCTGTAAGCTCATCAATGCTCCTCCAAGCTCTCCAAAATAACTCTCTGTGCAAGCTTCAATGCTTCTTGGCCAGCTCTGAAGCAGCATGAACTTCAAATACCTGCAAGTAGCGAAACAAAATGATTAATACCAAATTAAATACTAAAGAAAAGAAAATCAAAAGTGCTACACTAAACTACGGCATTGAAAGAAAAAGAGTAGGGTACTGGTGCAAGAAAGAAAAAGCAAGTACTGAAAACTAAACTGCCGTACTGAAAGAAAAGAACGATGGTACCAGTTTGAGGGGTCTATCACACAACAGGCCTGTTGCATTCCTCCATGTCAACCATCCAACTTGAATTATCTAATAATATCCCTATCTATTTCATTATCATTTTGAACAATAGAACCCAGATATCTAAAATGTGTACTCTTATTAATAGATCTATTACTATTAAAATTGCATTCCATGTATTCGGTTTTAAATCAACTTAAACGAAAACTGTTAGACTCTAAGGTTGACCTCTCTCTCTAGTTTTATCAAATAGAAGAATATAATCAGCAAAAAGCATATACCAGTTTACCTCCTCTTTCAAATGTCTAGTGAGAACATCCATGACTAAAGCAAAAAATATGGGCTTAAAGCTGATCCTTGATGTTATCCAACTGAAATAGGAAAACACTTGGCCAAAATCACATTGCTTTTTAATACATGTAACAACTCTTGCATACATATCTTTAATGATTTGGACATAAATATTATTAACTCCTTTCTTTTCTAGAATTCTCCAGAGCACTTCTTTTGAAATTTTATCATATGCTTTCTCTAAATCAATAAATATCATATATAGATCCTTTTTATTCTCTCTATACTTCTCTATCAAATCTCTCAATAAATATATAGCTTCCATAGTAGACCTACCTAGCATGAATCCAAATTAATTTTGAGAAAAATTAGTATCATGTCGTAACTTATGCGCAATAACTCTCTTCTATGGTTTTAATGTATGACACATTAACTTAATTCTTCTATAATTCAAACACTCTTGTGCATCACCTTTATTTTTACAAATAAGAATCAGCACATTTCTCCACTCATTTGACATCTTTTTAGTCTTCAATATAATATTGAAAAATTTTGTGAGCCAATAAATTCCTTCGACTCTTAAGCCTTTTCAGTTGTCTATTGGAATATCATTAGGTTCAACAAAATTTTTCACATTTCATTTTTTTTAAAGCCTCTTTAAATTCGGTTTTACTAATACGACGATAGAAACAAAAATATCTATTTTCATTTAAGGTGCTAATGTCACTTAAATCAGTCGTATTTCACATTTTTCTGTGAAAAACTTATCAAAACATCTCATATATGTTTGTTGAATATTCTTTTCTAATAAAAACTCCTTTTGATCTTCATCCTTATTATACTTCGCTTTAACTAAATCATTATTTCTTCTATCTATTTGCTTGACTAACTTATACATACATCATTTGCCCTTTTTAATATCTAATATATTATCTAAATCTTTAAAAATTAAATTCTTTGTATCGTATATTGCTTTCATAGACTCTTTGCAGACTATTTTATATTCTTCCCAATTTTTTGAGATTATACATCTAAACAAATTTTTATAACAATTTTTTTTAAATATTTTCTTATACATTTTGATTCCACCACTAATTATTTTGTTTTACTAATGTGACGATAAAAATAAAAATCTTTATTTTTATTTAGAGTGCTAAGATCACTAAAGTCAATTATATTCTCACAACCTTTATTGAAAAATTTATCGAAATATTACATGTACTTATGTTGAATATTCTCTTCTAAGAAAATAACTTTTTGATCTTCATCTTTAATATACTAAAGTAAATCTTTACTCCATTTATCTCTTTGATTGACTAACTTATACATATATTTTTTTATCATACTTAGTATCTAATATATTATATAAATTATTAAAAGTTAAATTCTTTGTATTGCATATTGCTTTCATAAATTCTCCATGGGTCTTTCTATATTTTTTCCTAATTTTCGAGCATTTTAAAATTAATTTTTATTGTAAAGCTTCTTTTTTGATCTTTTTTTACACATTTTGATTTCATCATCAACTATTTTTTGCTATTAGAATCTTTTCCTTTTAATTATCTAAGCAAATACTTTACAACATTTTTAATATTATTAGCTATTATTTCCAACATAATATTAAATATCTCACTAACAATCCAAATATTGAGATCATGAATTTTACTTATAAAAATATTTTTATTAGTGTTCTTTAAATACCTCAATCTAATTTTAGGATAATATTTTACTTCATTTTATATTTTTCATCCCTTAATCTTAAAATCTAAAACTAATAAGTGATGATATGTACATAAACTTTCACTCGAAATAATTTTATAATTTTTGTAATCTAAATGATCTACTTTTTTCTTATAAAAAAAATCAAATTGAGTTTTACTATTTCCATCTTTATAAACGATGAGATGCTTCTTTCTTTTCTTAAATAAAGTATTAGCAATTACAAAATTATAAGCTAAGCTAGAGCAAAATTTAATATAATCTTATCATTTGTATAAGTCGCTCCAAATTGATAGCCACCATGATTGCCTTTGAACTCTTCTATCATTCTTCCAATGTATCTATTTAAATATGCTCCAACATAAAACTCTTTCTTCAAGAAGTATTCTTTGTATTAATTCTTCTTTGTCATTTCAAAATTTTATTTTTGGATATATATCTAAATTTATAAATACTTTTATAACATTAATAATCTTAGCATCATTAACAATCTTTAAAACTCTAATTCTATCTTTAATTCTATTAATTTATGTAATATTATCTTTTAAACTCTTATTTATAATTACACTTGCAACTTTTTTAGTACGACTTTTATTTAAATCTTAAACTATCAATGTCCTTAGCCTTTTTTTCAAACCATTTTATTTCTTGAATACATAAAATATTTATTACTATGAATTATAATATTTATTAATTCAATTAACTTGCTTGTAAGAGTACATATATTCCAAGTTTTTATCTTAATTCTAGTTTTGTTGACTAACTTCTTTGCTCACATACATCCGTGATGTAGAAACTCTTTTTATTTAGCACTACACTTGGGCACCTATTCAACGGCCCTCGCCCACTTTTTGTTATATTTAGGTAAAACGAGTCGCTTCTAATGAACGCACTAGCATTAACACTTTGCATTAAATGACTTATGTCGTGATTGTTCAACAACTTTTATGCTCGTTGTTGGCTACCTAACACAGCACTACACTTGGGCACCTATTCAACGGCCCTCGCCCACTTTTTGTTATATTTAGGTAAAACGAGTCGCTTCTAATGAACGCACTAGCATTAACACTTTGCATTAAATGACTTATGTCGTGATTGTTCAACAACTTTTATGCTCGTTGTTGGCTACCTAACACAGCCTTCTATTTTTCTCATTTAGGGCTTAGGACCCAATAATGACAATGGCAAAGACAATGTTAAATGCAAATTATAAGAATAATAATGATGATAATGATAATGATAATGATAATGATAATGATAATGATGATGATGATGATGATAATAATCATAATGGTGATGATTATCATAATGATGATGATGATGATGATGATTTTTTAAACAAATAGTTTTAGGTTTAAAGTAACTTGTTTAATTTTGTTATTTTAGATTTAAAAATTAAAAAATTTTAAATAACCTAAACATTAAATTTAGAGGCTTATGCCTCATTCAAATAACATTGAGTTGAGTCTCATTCTCACTGAGGCGTGCATCACATGTAAGACTATGCCTCATTTCATTTTCTGTGTGCCTTAAGATAAGGCATGTCTCAAATTACGTAATTTTAAATCTTGTCACTATTTAGCTTTTAATTAGTATTTGTTAATCTTGTCGTTCCTAGTTCTACTCTTAGCAACATAACTATTGTTCTATGTAATCATAGAATTGAACAATACATTCTTCTTTCCTACCAAATGAAATTCTCCATTAAGTTGTAGCGTAGCTGATGATAGAAATTCGATATCGAACAAGTAATTGATTCACTTGAATATAAGAAGAGTAACTGAGATTTCCTATTAGTTTTAATACATATGAACTCGCTAATGCTTTGTTTTATCCGTCTGAACAATTTTATGCACGGCAATCAATTTTTGTTTTAAGAAAAACAATGGGTTGAATGTTGTCTTGTAGCACAAAAAAAAAGTTTTGTTTTTCTTATGAATGTAGCATATTTTTATAATAAAATATCATATTGTTTTGAATAAATGTCTTGCACTCCCAATTATTTTTTGCTCGACGACCACCTGATACATTAATTTTCCCGATAGAAGCAATCAAAAGTACGTCCATCTGCATTTTGTTATGAAAACCTCAATTTACCTTACTGGATTCTGATGCGCTGGTGGAGTGATTATGTGGGTTGCGTTACCTCCATTTATGGATGCTAGCAGGCACCTTTTCTAGTCTTCGATCATAGGTCAATGGCTACGATCCTAAATGCTTTTCATATCACTACACTGGTAGTATAAGCCAAATGGGGACTAAAAATTTACTATGATCATAGGTCCTTATCCCTGTGTCTTAGAAATGAGGTGGGTAGCATTTATCAAAGCATTATTCTGCAAACGTAAACATAATATCAAGATTTTTGAAATAACCCTTTTTCTTCTTCTTTTGATGTTTCAGATTGTTGATGGAAAGGATCTGCTGAATGAAAGGACAGACACTGAGAAGCGATATTTGAAGAAGGTATGTTTTTAAAACTTATTTGTGTCCGAGCATGGAGAGTGATGGTTGATTACATTTACATCAGCTTTTCTTAGCACAAAGAAAATAGGTAAGTAATGTGGGAAGAGACATGAGTTTTTTTTACATGAAAAAAGAGAGATTATGGGGTCTTATCTACTTGAATGAATTTCATTATCTTAAAGTGAAATGCAAGATATGCCCCTACTTTGATTAGTTAGAGAGGGTATTTGTATAATATCCAAGCTATTTCTGGGATATTGATGGCTACATCTTCAAGTTGTAGTTGATGATGGTAATAGTGAAAAACCAAAAGACCATGATTGTGACTAACTATAGGTGGCAACAGCAATGAGTCAAAACAAATGGTTATACTTGATGAGCGATGACTTAGATTTTTCTTGAGGCTGGGGTGTTGTGGTTAAATTGTAGGAAATGACCATGAAGAAATAAATTTAAAGATGACAACTACAAGAGACCCAAAGGAGATTATTTTAGCAGACCCAAAGGCGGAAATAGCAACCTGTCTAAGGATTAGTTGCAGTTGATTGACAGAGTAAAGGGTTGCATAGGGTCCCAAGGTTGTGATAACACTCGCCTAGCAGAAACAGCTGGATTGATCATATTGGCAATGGGTGCTACTGGTGACAACCAAGCAAGCAACAGATATTACAAAAGGTTGGCAACCGAGGAGATAGCGACCATAAAGTTTGTTGATGATGGAGGAGGCACTTATCTTCAATATTGGCAGATGTAAAGTCTACTTCCATCATTTTTGTGAGAATCCATGGACTAATATAATCCAAAATTCATCCTGATGAATGATCTAGGGGTTTATGATGCAATCTCATAAAATAAATTTCATCAAGATTGGCCTTTCCCTTGGTTGGTGTAGCCGGCTCAATCGAATCCATGTTGACTAGGCGATTGGCTTTGGTTAGCAGCAATCAACAATAACTGCTTTATTTCTAATTAGCTATTACGAAAAATATCAAGAATTATGCACTGAGTCATGAGTGAAATGGTAGTCGAAGTTTGCATTTTGAAAAATAGATTGATAGAGAAAGGAAAATTTTGGGGAATCAATCTTCAAGAAGAATATATAAAACTCCCCCTGCTTTCTAGAAGTGAATTTCACTATAACTAGTTTCCAAAATTGTGTCTGAAAGTTCATTAAGGATTTTAATCCCTTATGAACTAGCCTAAAGCTAACTAAGAGGGGGGTGGAGGTGAATTAGTATTTTAAAAATTTCTCAATCAAAAACACAATCTTAAACAAAACCAAAATTCACCATAAGAAAAATTAAGTGCAGAAAACAATAATAAAGAACATAGAAATTTATAGTGGTTTAGTCAACTTGACCTATGTCCACTCCCTAGAGCCTCTCCTCCGGGTATTGCACTAAACTCAATGACTCTCCCTCCCATAGCAAGGCGGAGAAGCCTGTCCAAACCTCCTTTCCACCGACATCGGTGAGGCAGAGAACCCAACTCCTTTTGCTTCATCCTGAAGCAGGCAGAGAACCCGACTCCTTTTGCTTCCTCCTGAAGTAGGCAGAAAACCTCAATCAATTGCTGAAGTAGACCTCTCTAGAACCACCAAGGAACAAGGGATGATGACCGGAGAAGACTCGGATCCTTGCTTGGAACAACCTTTGTGAAACCCCTCATAAACTCCCCCTCACAAGATCCTCTCTCTCTCCTTTACTCTCCCTCTCCTCTTGGCTCTCTCAGGTCATGACAGCAGCAAAAGATACAATATTGGGTAAACAAGAGGTCTTATATAGAAGAACTTCAGATGTGCTCTTAATTGCAACAAACCGACATAATCGTCTAGGACGATATTCATATCGTTCTTTATGATTAGTTCAAATTATTGAGTATCGTCTAGAACATCGCCTTGAATGCATGTCTGGACGATGGAAAAGTAAACTTATAATCCTGGATGATTTCACGATCGTCCCGGACGATTAGTTCAAAATAACAAATATCGTCCAGCACATCGCCCTGAATGCATGTCTAGACGATGGAAAAATAACTGATCGTCCAGGCCGATTTTTTATCGTCCTGGACGATTAGTGCAAAAACAATACACATCGTCCAGAACATCGTTCTGGCTGTCCAGGAAGAAACTAAGGTTTGTTTAATTGATTGTCCCAGTCTATCCTGCAATCGTCCCGGACAATATGATTGAGCAATCAAACCTTAATTGCTTTCCTTAATTACCAAACTAATTTAGGGATAATTGCAATGCATCGTCTAGGACGATGTCAAAAAATAAAACATGTCTAAACTAATCTGGTGGTTGATTCTTTTTGAGTTGAGCTTATCGTCCCGAACGATGCTAATATCGTCGAGGACGATGTGCTTAATTGCAGCTGCCTTAACCAGGATGTCCTAATTAGGGTTTCTATTTTTAACTAATCATCCAAGATGATTTTAGGATCGTCCCGGACGATGTGATCAAAAATAGAAAACTATAAAAATATATAGAATTTTTTCCTGAGTGTGTGTGTGCAAGGTTACTTAGCAATAGGATCCACGTTGTTATAATTGACTCAAGAAAAGATAAAAAAATACTTAATGACGGTTTACAGTTTGACTCAGTCCTAATCTACCCAATCTTGAACTAACTTAATTTTTGATTGATCGTGTGGACCTGAAACATTAGTAGAAAAGACAGTCGTAGAAAAATAGAAGTGTCAGAAATGTTTGCTATCATCAAAATTATAATTCATGAAATCAGATTCGTAGCAATCTCCCCTTTTTTGATGATGACAAAAAAATAATTTAAGTAGTTTAACACTGAAATTCAAATTTTACTAAAAAGCAAACTAATGGTACAAACAAACACTAAACAGAAACAATACAACAAAACAACATACTACTCCCCTTTTTGACATAACAAAAATGAGGGAAATATAAAAAAACAGAATATAGAACTACTAAAAAAGAAACAAACTCCAACATAGAAAAATAACACAGTAAAAGATAAAAATAAAACAACAAAAAAGAATAAAAATGATAAAAATAACGAAGAACAAAAGTTTTTTTTAATCAAAGCACGAATATGATAAATTTTTCATGTGATTGAATTAAAAATTTGTAAGAATTAATGAGTTAATATCATCGAAATCTAAAAAAATGATTGAACAATCGACCCTGTTAGCCCTAGCTCAGACTTCTCACAGGGCAAATCATCCTTTAAAAATAAAGATATACTCAGAAAAATCAACTGAATAAGAAAAAGAGATCCGTTCGAAACTTAGTTCTAGAAAAATATCTTATAAAATAATATATCAAAGTAATTAGTCACAATCATAAATTTTTCATAAAATTTGAGCACAAGTCTTTGAAAATATCAAGTAACATTTGAATTCTTCTAAGATTTGAAGGTTTGAAAGAGAAGGAAGCTTGCTTTTTGTGGGCTCATTTTATGCCTCTTATCAATTGATTGACATATTTTGCGCATCTTTTGATTGTTGATACACTTTGTGTATCTTTCAATTTTTTGGCGGTCATTGCACATCTTTTTAGTTTTTCTTCTTTTGGGCTTATTTTATGTCATTGTATTTAATTTTTTTTGTAAGCTAGATCTCTTTCGAAACTTTTAAATACTGTCAATTATGAGAATATCTTCTAGATATTAGAGAAGAAAAACTCACTCTCTAATATCAGGAAGAGTAAACCACAAAGTAGAATTAAATTCATATGATAAATACAACGACAAGATTACGAAAGCTTGAAAGTGATTTAATGACTTTGAACATTATTTATATAAGATAAATTACTGTAGCAAGATAGAAAATATCTCAATTGCAAAGTCTAGTTGTTAATTTGAGATAGACTTTTGTTTAAAAAATAAAATTACACCACTAAAAGAAGTTATAGAAAGGGAAACAATCAACGGTATTTCTCCTTTTAACTGATTTAGAAATGTTAATCATTGACTATGAATTTTCAAAAATAAAAACAAGACAAAATTTCATTTCAATAGTGAACAAAAAGAAGTAAATTAAACCTACAATAATGAAAGCCCAAAAAGAATGATAAAATAAACAAACAAAACTAAAGTCAACAAAAAGAAAATAAAATAACAAAAAATAGATCGAAAAATAAAATTCATAATTCATAAAATATTAAGTTCATGTATTTATGTCAATCACACCGAATCTGATCCTTAAGATGCTGAAAATGTCAAAGGCTAGTGATTTAGTAAAAATGTCAGCTAGTTAATTCTCTGTTAACACATGGTGTAACTCAATATTTCTTTTGATCACATGGTCTCTAATAAAGTAATGCCTTATATCAATATGTTTGATCCTTGAATGTTGGATAGGATTCTTAGAGATGTAGATGACACTAGTGTTGTTACCAATAATTGAAATTGTGCTTACAGGTAATTCTAAATCAAGAATTTGTTGCTTCAGCTAAAGAACTTGGGCCACACAACTCCCTAAGATAATGTCCTCAGCTTCAGCAGTGGAAAGAACAACAGAGTTTTGTTTTTTACTGGACCAGGAGACTAAAGACTGTCATTTGAATTGATGTCTCAGAAGTGCTCTTTCTATCCACCCTACATCCTGCAAAATCAGAATAAAAATATTCAATAATCTTAAAAGAAGTGTTGTGCCTCGAATACTAGATTCCTAAGTTTTGGGTCCCTCAGAGATATCTAAGGATTCTCTTAATTGCAGTAAGGTGAGATTCTTTAGGATCAGCTTGAAATCTAGCACATAGACAAATACTAAATACTATATTAGGTCAGCTAGTAGTCAGGTAAAGTAAAGATCCAATCTTTCCTTTGTACTTCTTTTGATCAACAGATTTTTCATTTGGGTTCTTTTCCAACTGAACACTGGAGGTCATGGGAGTATTTATTTGCTTGGCTTTATCAATTTCATATTTTTTAAGATGTCCTTAATATATTTTGATTGATTTAGAAAGGTTCCATTATCCAATTGTCTTATGTTAAAACTCAAAAAGTAGGACAACTCTCCCAT